AAAAAGCCTCGCCAGATACAAACTATATCTAATGCACTCTTTTTCTCATCACAGCCTCACGTTCTTGGTGTATTTCTTTCTCACAGGCTCAGCGAAGAAGTCCTCTCTGCCTGCAAACTACTGAATGGTCATTTATACAAAGGCAAGGAAATCGGACGAGAACAGCTGGTATGTCAAGGGAGGGGAGGGTGGGGAGAAATGCTGACTCATTCACAACATACATCGGTTTACTGGTCAAAYACAAAGCATTCAACCGATGCTGCAATGTTCATATTTGAATAATTCTTTGAAAATACCTTGCAGCCTCACGAGTGAACCGATGTATGGAAAATGGTTTGTCACAGTTGCTATAGATAATCGAAAAACCATTTAAATCCAAGCTAGTCCTTTTGAGATGATCCTTCATGGAATGTGCATAGCCTAGTCCCTATGCTACTCTCTTCGCGCTTTGGCAAAACGTCACGCTTGTGAAGCGTACGCCATTTTGAATTTTGAGGCAAGAACACGCAGTACGTGCCGCGTAACATCTTTCTTCAATTTGTTTCACACGAACACTTCCTGTTACCACACCTAGTCATTCAGACAGATCTCTTCACGTCTTGACCCTTTTTRATCATGTCAAGAATCCACTGATAACTATTGCCGAGGGAACTGTGTGTCTCTGGCTAAAAATGGATCCTTTAAGTGCATCATTGGTGCATTAGAGCGCCAAATGAACAGAGACATGGCAGACGCAAATTAAACAAACAAAAAACGTTTTGGTTTAAAAAATGCCTTCAAATTCGTTATCGAAACCTGAAAAAGCTTCTGGGGCTGATTAGGGCATGAAAGGGTATTGCAAGGCACGGCTGGTAGTCTACTCTACTAAGATGACGGCTCATATCCAATGCTATATTAGTTATTTTGAACATTCTTCGTTCTGTTTCTACAACTATTTGGACTAGTCATGTGACGTGATTTCTATTTTTAGATTTATTATCATGTGACTAGTCATGTGACTTGGATTTTATCCTTCTACACATGTGGCGTCATGTATTCATATACTTATAACGTTAAATCCTACTCACGTTACATGGTTTCTATTTTTAGACTTATTGTCATGTGACACAGGTTAACTGTATCATCTTTCCATTTTTAGGTCTCTTGTATGAGCACCGTCGAGAACCACTGGTTTGAGTGTGTGACGTCACCTGGCTGCCGTGCTGACGTCATCAAGGCATATGTTAAGGCCTTCAGGGCTTACATTCCGGTTCTCATGGAGACCATTATAAACCTCAGGGACAAAGAAGTAAGTGGCTCTTATGGATCTTAAGTCTTTAAATRAATATTTTTCTTCTCGTGGGTGAAGAAGGGAAACGCGCGCGCGTGCTGTGTGTAGTTACATAGCACGTGTGTTTGGTAGAACACAAGAGAAGTGTTAGAAGAAACACGAATTAGAGGTCTAGCCGTTGGCACAAGAATGACGAAATATAAAGTGCGTGCGCGTGCTGTGTGCTCTCATATAGCATGCGCTCTCAACCAATCAGCACGCAAGACTCATGACAGTTATTTTATAATGCAGGGTAATAATGCACTGCACTATGCTGTCAGCTTCAACAACTGGAAGGTAGTGAACACGATTCTTAAAACAAACTTTGTTGATGTTGGACTACCAAACCAGGTACGTTGCGTATATATTGATCGAGTTAGTTTAATGCACCTTCGCAAGTGCGCATGCTTCAAGATTCACATACCGCTGTCATGCTTACCGGGTTGTCTTTCAAGAAGCTGCACACACTTAAGAATGCGTACACCGTYGTACTGTTGTCAGTTAAGATTCTACTCGTGCTTGATAGATGCGTACATTTTTTTACAACCACAACTCCCCGCACGCAGCTCTTCCGTGGGGTTCCATCCGCACACGCTACCACTACATTCTATATTCACGACATACAACACTTAACTCACATATTGATTTTTACGGAGGGAGGAAAATACGGCCGTAAACATGTTTATACGGCGTTATGCGGCCTATTCAATGGTCAGTAATGCGCATGTCCATTCAGAAACTGCGCATGCTTAATTATGCACTTACCGCTGTCTTTCCGTGTCGTCAGCTCTCAGACCTGAGTATCGTACTTTTATTTCATATCTAAAAAATACCAAACGGACAATATATCTTGTGCGTATCTCTAGGTGGGATACAACGCTGTCATGCTTGCAGCGCTAACAGGCCTGGAAAGAGAAGAGTTCACAGACATCGCTCGCAGACTTTTAGACCTTGGTGATGTGAACAGTAAAGTAGAGGAGGTAGGTGGTGGAGGGAATAGCTTTCATGGAGTATAGGGAATGCTATTCTTTAATTGCAGGGGCGGATCTAGGGGAAGGGTGCATCGGGAGCGCACCCCCCCCCCCCCTCCCCAGATGAGCTGATATCTACTCTGCATTTGTGTTTGCAAGCAAAGACTGCGCCCCCTCTGCGCCCCATCCTTGATGGTGCACCCCCTCCCCTTTCTTAGAAAAAACCTGGATCCGCTTTTAATCCAATCAAAATGGCCATACTGGGACACGGCACGGTCATGGTAAAGGCCATCAACTTGGTAGYTTGCGCAACTCACTTAAATCAGTGATCTTTATTATTTAATGCTGTTTCTATTACAGACTGGTCAAACTCCTTTAATGTTAGCCGTAACTCGCGGTAGGCTTGACATGGTGGGACTTCTATTGGAGGCTGGCGCTGATATGAATGCGCAAGATAACGTGAGTCAAACTAAACATCAATTTTATCGAACCCTGAAACAACCTCTGTTCTGATCTAAGTCAGGGCATGGCTAACTCACAGATTCAACCCTAAAACAACCTCTGGGCTGATCTAAGTCAGGGCATGGCTAACTCACAGATTCAA